TGCAGTGGCACGCTCATGGCCACCCCAGCATCAACCTGCTGGGCTCCAGCGATCCTTCTGTCTCAGCCTTCCAAGTAGCTGGAACTACAGATAGGCACTACCATGCCTGGCTAATTTTTTGACTTATTGTAGAGATGAGGTCTCGCCAAGTTGCCTGGGCTGGTCTCGAACCCGCAGGCTCAGGCAGTCTACTCGCCTTGGCCTTCCAAAGTGCTGGGATTACAGGCTACAGCTGCTGCACCCAGGCTTATTTTTTTTTTTATACATTTCAAAGTAAACTGTGGGCACTGGTACATTTTTTCCCCTAAATACTTCAGCATCATTAGGTAAACATATTTTAATTGAAAACATAGGAAGGTACACTCATTCACAGTCATTTTTTGTAGAGTCAAGTTGTTTTCATTAACTGTGGTTCTGATGATTAAGTATTCTTGTCATCTGTCTCATCATCTAGAATTTCTAGTTTCAGTTATTTCAAGTGGACACAATTTAAAGATACTTGTAAAGCATACAGTACACAGAATCTTCCTAGAGTTTTTGTAGTTTTTTTCTCCTGGTTTTTTAATTCATGTCATCCTCACTTATTTTGACTGCTGTTTGTTTTACTGACTTGTCTTTATTTCTAAACATTTAGTTTTTTTTTTTTGAGTTGGAGTCTCACTCTGTCGCCCAGACTGGAGTGCGGTGGCTGCTCCCTGCCACCGCAGCCTCGACTTGCTGGGCTCCAGCGATCCTTCTGCTCAGCCTTCCAAGTAGCTGGAACTACAGGCGCGCGCTACCACACCCGGCTAATTTTTTTGATTTATTGTAGAGATGAGGTCTCACCAAGTTGCCCAGGCGGGTCACAAACCCGCGGGCTCAGGCACATTTAGTTTTTATAAAACAGTGATTTTTGTGTGTTCATATTTAATTGGCTTATATCATATTTAATGTATTCATTCAACAAACACATAGGGTGCTTTACTATATGCTAGGCAATAGTCTAAATATTGGGGCTGTCATAGTGAAGAAAACAAAGTGTCTGTTCTCGCAGAGCTGGGAAGATAGACGGTAATATTTAAATGCCATATAAAACTAGTTAGCGATGACCATTATCAAGAAGAGTCAGCTGGGATCAGAGGCAGACTTAGATCGGTGATCAAGGAAGCCTTCCGGGGAGGTGACAGTATTTGGAGACCATCATGATGTGACGAGCACTTGGCTCTGAGGAAAGAGGCGTTTTGGTGATCAGAAATCGGCATCACCAGGTTGGGATCAAACACGTCTGACTCGGCTAGCACAAGCTCACCCGTAGGGGCAGCAGGCTGCAGACATGCCATGGAAGAACTTGCTGGCCCGGTGCTCAGTTGCTGGGGGTCAGTGTCCACCAGGACAAGCCTTGCTCCCCTCCCACCCTTTTCTCTCCCGTTCCTACACAGGCCTTTGAGGAGTGGAACAAGACGGAGTTGGACTCGTTCCTGATTGAAATCACAGCCAACATTCTCAAGTTCCGAGACACCGACAGCAAGTACCTGCTGCCGAAGATTAGGGACAGTGCGGGGCAGAAGGGCACTGGGAAGTGGACCGCCATCTCTGCCCTGGAGTACGGTGTTCCTGTCACCCTCATTGGTAACGTTCCACTATTCACCTGAACCCTTTGTCCCACTGTTCATCCTGGTGTCCTGGAGTGTTGACACGGACTGGTCTTTGAGAGAATCTAGCCCACTCTAGCCAGCTTTTGGAGTGCCTTTTGCTCTTCTGCATGTGAAAAAACAAACAGTGGGAGACAGGCTGACACTGTTTTTCTGTTTGTTTGTTTGTTTGTTTGTTTTAATTGAGACAGTATGTTGCCCAGGCTGGTCTCAAACTCCTGGCCTCAAGTGATCCTCCTGCCTCAGCCTCCCAGAGCACTAGGATTCCAGGTGTGAGCCTCTGGGCCTGGCCTGATGCTGCTTTTGAATCTCTTTGTAATCCTCTCATTCATTTCAGCCTTGAGGTAAATTCAGAACCTATTGTCTTTCCTATTCAATTTTATCTGTGGACTATTTTAGCATTAGTGATTTAATTGAAGTCAGTAACCTAAGATCTTTTTAATGAGGCAGGTAACTCTCACGGAATTTTTTGTAGAAAAGTTTACAGAATAGGCTGGGCTCAGTGCTCTTTCTGTAATCCCAGAGCTTTGGGAGGCCGAGGTGAGTGGATTACCTGAGCCTGCGGGTTTGAGACCTGCCTAGGCAACTTGGCGAGACCTCATCTCTACAATAAATAAAAAAAAATTAGCCGGGCATGGTAGCGCGCACCTGTAATTCCAGCTACTCGGAAGGCTGAGGCAGAAGGATCGCCGGAGCCCAGCAGGTCGAGGCTGCGGTGGCCGGGAGCGGCCACTGCATCCAGTCTGGGCGACGGAGTGAGACCCCAACTCAAAAAAAAGAAAAAAAGAAAAAAAAGAAAAGTTCACAGAATAACATATGCTTGTATACTCATAATGTATTAAAACTTTGCTGGGTTTCTCCCCCCAGATATTAAAAAAAATTATCTATACAATTAAATTCCTTGAATAATTTTTTTTTTTTTGAGCCGGGGGTCTTACTCTGTCACCCAGGTTGGAATGCAGTGACATGATTACAGATCACTGCAGCCTTGACCTCCTGGCTCAAGCAGTCCTCCCTACTCAACTTCCCAAGTAGCTAGGGCTACAGGAATGCACCACCATGCCTGGCTATTTTTTTCCTAGTTGGAGTCTCTGTCGCCCAGGCTGGAGTGCGATCATGGTTACTGCAGCCTCGACCTGCTGGGCTCAGGCGATCCTTCTGCCTTAGCTTCCAAGTACCTAGGACTATAGGCACATGCCACCATGCCTGGCTAACTTTTTTTATTTATAACAGAGACCTTGCCATGCTGCCCAGGCTGGTCTCCATCTCTTGGGCTCAGGCAATCCTCTCACCTCTGCCTCCCAAACTGCTGGGATAACTGCTGGGATTACTGCTGTAAGCCACTGTACCCAGGTCTTTTTTTGATTTTTTTGTGGAAATGAGGTCTCGCTATGTTGCTCAGGCTAGTCTCCAACTCCTGGGTTCAAGCCACTCTCTCTCTTTAGCCTCCCAGAATGCGAGAATTATGGGCATGAGCCACCTCTTTTGCTAAATTCCTTCTCCTTGCTCTTTTTTTTTAAATTTTTATTGTTTTTTTGAGTTGGAGTCTCACTCTGCTGCCCAGGCTGGAGTGCAGTGGCACGGCCACAGCAGCCTTGACCTGCTGGACTCAGGCAATCCTTCTACCTCAGCCTTCCAAGTAGCTGGAACTACAGGTGTGTGCCACCACGCCCAGCTACTTTTTCTTGATTTATTGCAGAGATGAGGTCTCACCAAATTGCCTAGGCTGGTCTCGCACCCCTGGGCTTAGGCAATCCTCTCACCTGAGCCTCCCAAAGTGCTGGGATTATAGGCGTGAGCCACTGGACCTGGCCCCCGTTCTCTTTTAGAAGAAAACAACCATCCTGAAGTTGATGTGCATCCTTTCCACCTGAGTATCAAACTCAGAAAGATAGAGAAGGAAATAAAACAAATAGGCGAGGACTAACAGAACCAAAAGCCCCTTTAAGAGTAAGGACGCTTCTGGCGAGATTGAAAAAGAATGGCAGAAGGTGCCTCGTGTTCATTAAGAACAAAAAAGTTGATCTTTGCTCCTGAGAATGTCCTCCCTGTAAGAAAAGAGTCGTTCTGTTTGCTCTCCTAGAGGTGGTTGCCTTTCTCTCGCTCACGTCCTCCCTTCTGAGTTCCCCCTCACTGTGCCCGCCCTGCTGTGACCGTGGTGTAAGGCACAGTAGGGAGGGAAGTGGGTGGTTTATCTTGCCAGGGGCCAGCAGAAGGAAGTTGGCTGCTCTTTAGCAAATCTGAGCAATACCGTGGCTGGGGAGGGTGGGGCAGTGGCTGGGAGTTCATTCATCACACTGCCTTAAAGGCGCGTGAGCGTGAGCTATCACAGTAGCAGGGAACCCTGCTCTCCTCCCAGTGGAGATTGTACACCCTTCCCCAGGGCGGACGGCGTCCCTGGATGGCGCAATCGTTATCTGTGAACCAATGGGGAAGTTGGTCTCCAGCTCCCCCAGATGTAACAGGAAGGGTTTGCCACACTGCCTGTTGCACCAGTCATCTTACAAAGCTTCCTTCCAGAAACGCTAAGTCATCGTGTGTGTGCACTGCTGGAGAGAAGGGGTGATTGGGTCAGGATAGAAAGCCACCTGCTTTTGACGTGTTTTGAGTTTGGTTAATGTTCTCAAGTTTATGGCTAGCACTCTTTCCTCAGAAATAAAGTCCTCTCTTAGTTCTCTGAGATTTTACTGTGGGGGTAAAAAATAAAGAGTAATTTATTCTCATTATCTAAATTATCAATTGAGCAAGTAGGCTTTTATAAGGGATAATTTTTGAAGATACTAAATGTCTTAATATTAAAATACTATACTGAAATGTTTTTTATTCCAATGAAGTAACATTATAAAACTTTTTTGGGGGAAAGTAGGATTTATTGAGAGGACAGAAAGCCTCCCAGAACAGGAGGGGATCCAGTGGGTTGCCAAATTATGAAACTTTGATGGTGATCATGGATATACTGAAAATTGTAAAATGTTAAGCGTTTAAAAATGGAATGGAGTGTTTTGTTTTTCTGAGTCAGAGTCTCATGCTGCCACCCAGGCTGGAGAGCAGTGGCATGATCGTGGCCACTGCAGCCTCAACCTGCTGGACTCAGGAGATCCTTCCACCTCAGCCTTCCAAGTAGCAGGAACTGCAGGTGTTCGCCACCACACCAGACTAATTAAAAAAAAATGAGAGCTGGGCTCGGTGTCTCAGCCTGTAATCCCGTGCCTTGGAAAGCTGAGGTGAGTGGATTGCCTAAGCCTGTGGGTTTGAGACCCGCCTGGGCAACTTGGCGAGACCTCATCTCTACAATAAATCAGAAAATTAGCCCAGCATGGTGGCACACGCCTATAGTCCACCTACATGGAAGGCTGAGACAGAAGGATCACTGGAGCCCAGCAGGTCAAGGTTGTGGTGGCTGTGAGCATGCCACTGCACTCCAGCCTAGGTAACAGAGTGAGACTCCAACTCAAAAAAAAAAAAAATGAGTTGGAGTCTCACTCTGTCGCCCAGGCTGCAGTGTAGTGGCACAGTCAAGGTCACTACAGCCTCCACCTGCTGGGCTCCAGTGATCCTTCCTCCTCAGCCTTCCCAGTAGCTGGAACTGCAGGCGTGTGCCACCATGCTGGCTAATTTTTTAATTTATTGTAGAGACAAGGTCTTACCAAGTTACTCGGGCTGGTCTCAAACCCCTGAACTCAGGCAATACTCTCACCTTGGCCTCCTAAAGTGCTGGGATTACAGGCATGAACCACCATGCCCAGCTAATTTTTAAAAATGTGTTGTACATGGCTATAGTTCCAGCTACTTGGAGGGCTGAGGGGGAAGGATCACCCGAACCCAGAAGGTCGAGGCTGTGGTGGCCATGAGCATGCCAAGTGGCACTCCAGCCTGGGAGACAGAGTGAGACAGGGCTGGTCTCGAACTCTTGGACTCAGGCAATCCTCTCACTTCTGCCTCTCAGAGTGCTGAGATTACAGGCGTGAACCATTGCTTCTGGCTAAAAATGGAGGTTTTTGAGGGGTAAGTCTATAAGTATGGCTTCTTAATGTATTGTTTCTAGTTGTTGGGTAATTGATGCTTCAAAAGAAAATAAATTGAGTCTTTCAGTATTTAAAAATTAAAGTCCTATAAACTGAATTTGAAGTCATACTCATGGATCAACACTGAGGAATTCTGAGTACAGAGGTTTTATCTCTTTATTTTCCCTCAAAACTCCCTTTGGAATTTCATATGGATCTTTGTGGTTGAATATCTGTATTTATGTTAGAAAACTGACTTGGAGGTTTAGAGCTTTTTAATAAAAGTTCCTTCTGGGTGCAGTGGCTAAGACTTATAATTCCAATGTTTTGGGAGGCCAAAGTGGGGGGATTACATAAGGTCAGCAGTTCCAGGCCAGCCTGAACAAAATAGTGAGATCCAATCTACAGAAAAAAAAAAAAAATTAGCCAGACTTGGCACTGTACACCTATAGTCGCAACTGCTTGTAAGGCTGAGCTGGGAGGACTGTTTGAGCCCAGAGGTCGAGGCTGCAGTAAACTATGATTGCACCACTATCTATTTCTAGAAAAAAAATTCCTCCTGATATTCCCACCCTCCCTAATACCTCCATGTAGGAGAAGCTGTCTTTGCTCGGTGCTTATCATCTCTAAAGGATGAGAGGATTCAAGCTAGCAAAAAACTGAAGGGTCCCCAAAAGTTCCAGTTTGGCGGTGACAAGAAGTCATTCCTGGAGGACATTCGGAAGGTGGGCACAGACCCTGTGGTCCCTGTTGGTCCCTGGTAGACAGTGGGGGTAGGGTTGTTGTAGGAGAACACATGCAGCTCCAGGGTGGCAGGTGGAGTCAAGTTCAGCCTTCACATCAAACCTGGTTTCCAGGCTTTTCCTGGAACAGTACCCTTTCCGGGATCTCCTGCTGTTGTGGGCAAGTCTAGCAGACACGAGGGGCCTCTGCTGGCTACAACTCTCATAAGCGTTTGTGGCACTCTTCAGGCCCTCTATGCTTCCAAGATCATCTCTTACGCCCAAGGCTTTATGCTGCTGAGACAGGCAGCCACTGAATTCGGCTGGACCCTCAATTATGGCGGCATTGCCCTGATGTGGCGAGGGGGCTGCATCATCCGGAGGTAAGAGACAGTCGCCTGCTGTGGGGACATTGGGATGTTGGGACACTTCCCTGTAATGGGTGCAGTTAGCCCTGTCACTGGAACGCCGCAGCAAGATTGGTTTAGATGGCCACGACTCACTCATTCCCTGTTGATCAGTTGCTGTAACTGAACTGTCCCCACTACACTTTCTAAAGTAGTTCTGTGGGAACCATCATGCTCTCTGGCTTTGCCTCTTGGGCCTTTTGCTCTGTGTTTTCCTTGACCCACCACCATTTTTTTCTTTTATTTTTTTGAGTTGGAGTCTGTCTCTGTCACCCAGGCTGGAGGGCAGTGACACGTTCTCAGCAACTGCCGTCTCAGCCTGCTGGGGTCGGGTGATCCTTCTGCCTCAACCTTCCAAGTAACTGGAACTACAGGCACATACCACCATGCCCGGCTAATTTTTATTTATTTATTTATTGTAGAGATCAGGTCTCACCAAGTTGCCCAGGCTGGTCTCAAATGTGTGGGCTCAGGTTGTCCTCTCACCTCAGCCTCCTAAGTGCTGGGATTATAGGCTTGAGCCACCGCACCCAGCCTACCCATGGCCAGTTTTAAGAGATGAGAAACGCAACTTTGTGCTTTATTAGGGTCCACATCAGCTTCCAACTTATCTTCCCTGCTTTCCATCAGGCATTCAGCCAGCTGGAGTTTTCATTGATTTCTTCCCTTAATCGTTTCAGCGTATTCTTAGGAAAGATAAAGGATGCATTTGATAGAAACCCAGAACTTCAGAACCTGCTACTGGACGACTTTTTTAAGTCAGCTGTTGAAAACTGCCAGGTATGTGACTTTTTAAAGTCAGCTGTTGAAAACTGCTGGTGGCAGGTACACTGTCTCTGGATTTGCGGTGATACGCATGAGAGGGTGTCATCTCGAATGGAACCAGTTAGCATCTCTGGGCCACCACTGATCCTCGGCCTTGCTTTTTGTGCTCAGGACTCCTGGCGGCGGGCAGTGAGCACTGGTGTCCAGGCCGGCATCCCCATGCCCTGCTTCACCACTGCCCTCTCCTTCTATGATGGCTACAGACACGAGATGCTTCCAGCCAACCTCGTCCAGGTGAGCCGCGGGGCAGGTGCTGAGCTGGCTGTCCCAAAGGCCACGCACCTGCGTCCTGTCCTGACCAACCTATGTCTTGCTATCTAGGCTCAGCGGGATTACTTCGGGGCTCACACCTACGAACTTTTAGCCAAGCCGGGACAGTTTATCCACACCAACTGGACAGGCCACGGTGGCAGCGTGTCGTCGTCCTCCTACAACGCCTGATCAGGCTGTGCCTGCTACCCTTCTCGGCTCCACAGGCAGGACATTCCATGTACCACACTCTGCCAACGTGGCCCTCTGCCCTCCTTTCTGCTCAGATCTTTTAAAATACAGTATCATACGAGACTCCTGAAAACAGCAAATCGTTTTTGTGAAGTAGTTTTTGAGAGCCCTCATGCCCCTGCCCCTGCCTCCTGGTACAGACCGGGAACTGATCATGCACATGAAAGCTGGAGCCAGCTCCTCGGTCATTTCCACATGTCCCCTCTGGGCTGGTGAGGCTCTTGTCACATGGCTGGGAAGCGTGTACAGTCTGGTCGTACTGGAAGCTCTGTGCCACGCAGCCGAAGCCCCTTTTTCCTTTAGTCAATAAAAGCTACTTTATGTTTATGCTTTTTCTCCAGAGTCTTGAATAGCCTCTCTTTGACCACACTGAGTCACGGTCCCCAATGGGAAGATTTGCAGGGGTTTCACTACATTTGAATCAGTTGGTTTCCTTCGAGCCTCAATTTTTTTCCTCTTTGTTTTCTTAAAAAACAGACTCCAGAATAAAACAGGAAACACTCCCCCTTAGGACCATGCTTAACCCTGGAAGGGAAGCTGAGAAGGCAGGCAGCTATGTCCATGGGCTTTGGTGTGTGGTTGCATCTCATTTTTATTTTTGGGTTGGAGTCTCACTCTTGCCCAGGCTGGAGTACAGTGGCATGCTTACAGCCACCACAGCCTCAACCTGCTGGGTTCAGGGGATCCTTCTGGCTCAGCCTTCCAAGTAGCTGAAACCACAGGCATGTGCCACCATGCCCAGCTAATTTTTTGACTTATTGTAGAGACAAGGTCTCACCAAGTTGCCCAGGCTGGTCTCAAACCCTTGAACTCAGGCAATTCTCTTGCCTCAGCCTCCCAAAATGCTGGGATCACAGGCTTGAGCCACCGCACCCGATGGCGTCTCATTTCTTAAGTTGCACAGTGGGTGGATGGATCGATGTTCATTGTAGCATTCTTGCCTTTTTGTGTGTCAGTGACTTCATAATAAACTTGTCTAGGGCATCGCTGAGTGATGGGCTCCGCCTGGTCTGATCTTCCTTTCCCACACCTGTCTCTGTCTCTAAGTCAGGCCATGGATTCCTTGTGGGACTTTTAGCAATCTAAGTTTGCTCCTTAACCAGGCTTTTTGCTTATTTACTCAGGAAAAAACAGACTGCTAGCATCCTGCTGTGGCCATGTGGCCTGGGGCCAGGGGAACTGTTTCACCAGCAGGCCGACTCCACGATGACTTCTCTGGAGTGCTTGGAAAGTCCAAGTGTCCTAAGGATAGGAGGAGCAAACAGCGCCCATGTTTGAACAGCTGGTGTCTATACTCTGACCTCTGATCTCTCTCAGGAGGGGGCAGGGGCAGGCAGAGCGGGTGAGGGGGAGACAGTCCTTTTCATGAGATCCTTTTCATGAGTGAGGAAGACAGCGCTTTAAACCCATCCTGGATGTGAGTCCTTAGCTAGGCCAGGCCCGCTCGCCCCCTCCTGCTCCCACCTGCCAGCCTAGGAGAAGCCTGAGTAGCTGCTGGTGACTCAAGAGTCTCTAAGGGTGACTTGGGCGTGGTGGCTCAAGCCTGTAATGCAGCACTTTGGGAGGCCAAGGTCCCATGGGTTCGAGATCAGCCTGGACAACTTGGTGAGACCTTGTCTCTACAATAAATAAAAAAATTAGCCAGGTGTGGCAGCGTGCCTACAGTTCTAGCTACTTGGAAGGCTGAGGCGGAAGGATCGCCTGAGCCCAGCAGGTTGACGCTGGGGTAGCTGTGAGCATGCCACTGCACTCTAGCCCGGGCGATGGAGTGAAACTACAACTCAAAAAAAAAACAACATTCTTTAAGGGTTGTACAAGGCAATTTTCTTTTTTTTTTTGGAGTTGGAGTGTCACTCTGTCGCCCAGGCTGGAGGGCAGTGGCTGCTCCCGGCCACCCCGCCTCGACCTGCTGGGCTCCGGCGATCCTTCCGCCTCAGCCTTCCAAGTAGCTGGAACTACAGGTGCACACTACCACGCCTGGCTAATTTTTTGATTTATTGTAGAGTTGAGGTCTCACCAAGTTATCCAGGCGGGTCTCGAACCCGCAGGCTCAGGCAATCCACTTACCTCGGCCTCCCAAAGTGCTGGG